ATTTGAAGTGGAATATCCAGTTCTGTTTCAATACATTCAAGCTGATTTGGATTAAGGATATCAGGATGTGGATTAAAAGTTTTGAAAAGGTGGTGAGCAAAAATTTGGGATTTTTCTTCATGAGATTTGGACCAAGTTTGATCTTCAGTAAGAAGTGGATGATTAAAGTCTTTAAATTTCAGGAGCCGTTTAGTCGTCGTCCACAGTGATTTCTCGGTAGGTGTAAGTTTTTCAGTAAAATTTAGTAAATTTTGAATTTTGTATTTTCTAATTTCTGATTTTAGTTTGTTAGTCAGTTGGGTATAATGAGTTTTATCTGTTGGATATCTAGTTCTATGCCACTTCGATCTTGCTCTGCGTTTTTCCTTTAATAAGATACGAATATGCTGTGGCAAGTTAGTCTTTTGTAAATTGTTAATCTTACTGTTAAAGGTGTTACTGTTTATACTGTCTGTTATTGATGTTGTAAGTTTTTCTGTGGCACCATTAATGTCTTCTTTTGTCTTAAGCGGAATTTTCAAGTCTAGTTTGTTTTCCAAGTCATCACGAAAGTTGTCCCAGTGTACTCGTCCTGTAATCAATTTAGGAGATGATGGTTTAGGAGCATAGCTTGAATGTAGTGAAAGCAGCACTGGACTATGCTCTGAAGAAAGGTCATCGAGTGATTTGATTAAGGCTTGTGAGAAGGAAATCTGGGAGGTGATAAATATATCCAGGATATCGGGACGTTTTTTGAGTGATGTTGGCCAATAAGTAGGACTCATGGGCGAGAGGATTCAATAACTGTTGGGAGATGAGATACGTGAAAGGATGTTACCGCGGGAGTTGGATGTTCGACAACCCCATCGTTGGTGTTTAGCATTGTAGTCTCCTCCAGCAATAAAGCGCGATCCGAGGGATTGAAATATGGATTCAAGGAGGTTATAGGAGATGGAATTACCAGGAGGACAGTATACAGCTGAAAGTGTGAGATGGAAAGGGCGAGTTGAAAGGATTACAGAAGTTGACTGAATGGCATCAGTTGGAGTGGAAGGAATAAGGGAATGGGATAAAGATTTGTGGATAAGGATGCAGGAACCAGCGTGGGAAGTGTTATCTGGGTGGTCAGATCTGTAAGTGATGTAGTCATGTATGTAGAAATGTGTCCGTTGAGTGAAGTGAGTTTCCGTCAGAAGGGCTATGTCAATGAGATTGTCATGGAGAAATAAGTCTAGTTCGTCTCGGTGGTTGAGTAGTCCATTAGCATTCCATAAAAGGATAGCTAGGGGCTTTGTATTCATCGGGGGAAGTTGAATGGGATTTCGGAAAGGAGTCTGGTGAGGAGGGTAATAAGCGGTTTGATAGTCTCTTGAAGATCTATCAGGAATGTTGAAAGGACAGAATCGATGTCGGAAGGTTTTTGGCTGTGAAGTAGATTTAGGTCAGGAGGATGTGATGGGTAATTTGTGCGACTAGGATTGCTGGAAGGGGGATGTGCCCGACGTGGGATGCGAGGAGTTGGATCTATATTCTGTTGGGCTTGTGATGGGAGGTTTACATTGGGATTAGGAACGGATGGAACTGGGTGTGGATGCTCTGGCGGGAGTTTGACCCTTAAGGATAGATGGTGAAGAGGGATTTGCGGACGAGGAGGTTGAGGCTGAGGTTTAGCAGTTTTAGGCTTGGATTGGGAAGCCTGAGGCGCCTGTCGTCGAGGCTGCTGGTTCTTGATGGTGGTTTGGAGATATAAATTTCTCGAACCCTGTTGAGAATAGTCCGTAGCTGTGGAGATGGATGGTTGAGGCTGGATCACTTGAGAAGGTGACGACGGCAGTGCTGGGAAATTTGTTCTATCATCGATTGCGGGAGCCTCAGTCAAACTTTTATGATCAAGGTTAAGGCTTTTCAAAGCCATATTATGTGATCTCAGCTTCAGAAGATTTTTATAAACTACGCAACCTCTGTAGCTCGCTGAGTGTCCCTCGCCACAAACGGCACATATAGCAGCCTCTTGCCTTGGTTTCTGGCAAATATCAGATGGATGTGCCCCAGCACATTTGACGCATCTGGCCTGATGATGGCAGCAGGCTTTTGTGTGTCCCAAATTTTGACAGTTAGTGCATTGCACTACTATAGGTCTTTGTCTGGGCTCTTCAAAACGGACTATTGAATATAAAAGACGCTTTACGTTAAAAATTTCCGGGTTGTTTTTTGCAGATTCGAGATCTACGAAAAATAGCGGTAGCGGGTATTTTTCCTTAGGATGAAGCACGGTAGCTATGTTCCTTACGCTATGGCCTATTTCTTCCAAACCCATTTTGATTGCGCTTATAGAAGTAGTTGGATGAAGCCCTCTCAATACGACTCTGTATGCTTTTTCCTGTCTCAGTTGGTAACAATGGAAATCGTATTTTCGTGTAGTAAAATGTTCAAATAATATTTTGTAATTTTCTTTAGAGTTGGTATTTATTTTAATATCACTGACTCTGAAAAAACATGTAAAATTTGGCTGCCCAATCAGATCAGCGATTTCTTGTCCGAAGGACATAAAATTTTCAATTTTTGCGACGAAGATGGGTGGCGGTTCAAGATCACAAGTTTCTTTTGGCTCCAGAATCTTGTTTGTAGTATTGTTGGCTGTAACAGAGTTACTGATTGAGGTGTTTGGTGAAATTGATTCTGATTTGATGGCTGAAGTGGTTTTGCTACGCGTATTTGGTGTAGATTTGTTTGTTTCAGATGCCTTTTTTGATTTGGCCGATTTATTTTTTTTCTTGTCTGGTGAATTGCCCGCTGATCCGGGGGCAGAGTTTCGATTGCGCTTTTGAAGAGTCATTCTTTTTAAATATTGTGAATCGGTCTCACTGACTTCGGAAAATGGTGTCTCTTCCTCCGATTCTTCACCAGACGTATTGTCAGGTTCCATAATGAGAGAGAAAAAAAAAAAAATCTGTTCCTGTTACAACACTAAAAAAAAAAATTTACGAAATAAATTCTTAAAACTAAGCTATTTACATTATTTACAGTTAAAGTAAGAAAAAATCGCAATATACATAATTAAACCAAAGTAAAAGTCTTAGAGTAAAATAAACAAATAAAATAAAGAGAGAAGAAAAAAGAAAAAAAAAAATAGTTTATCAGTTTGGATACGAACTCGATATCACTCGAAGGAAGTAGTGTTAGTAAATAGAGCCTTGGCCGTGTATCTTAAGTAGATAGGGCAAGAGCCGTAAAGGGAATTATCGATCAGCTGTGCTGTCTCTACCGAACTAGTATCAATTAACTATTAAACATAATTGTTAATAAATATCTCTCACCTCACTATTTAATGTGAAAATGTTTAAATGTACAAAAGCTCACTGTTCACAAATTATAGCAGCAGTATTTGCAGAATTAGCCAGTTGAGAAGGAGACAAAGACAGAGCGATGCAAGCATTAAACTGTAGTTGCGGCCATTTTCAGATCGAC